GTTTTTTAATATGGTACTGAGGGTTGAACACTGTGCCTCACACATCACACATACTAGGCAGGAGCTCTACCACTGAGCTACAACCCCAGCCTCCCTTTTTATTTTTTGAGACAGGGTCTTGATAAGTTGCTGAGACTGGCCTTCAATCTTGTGATCCTCATCTCAGCCTACCCAAGTTGCTGGGCTTAAAGGCAAATGCCACCATGCCCAACTGGACGCAGTACTCTTTTTTTTTTTTAGTTGTTGATGGACCTTTATCTTATTCATGTATTAATATGTGATTCTGAGAATCAAACCCAGTGCCTCACACATATAAGCCAAGAACTCTACCACCGAGTCACAACCCCAACCCCTGGATGGAGTACTCTTGCTAACTGCTTTATTAGAGTTTTGATTGTAAACTACAGCTCCAAAAAAAATCTAAATTATTTTTCTTCATTCTATTTGTCCTCACAAAATATTACCAAAGTTGGACTTGGGATGTAACTCAGTGGTAGAACATGTGCTTAACATGTGGGAGGCCCTGGGTTTCATGTCCAGCATCACCGAAAGGGGAGTGGGGGAATTATTACAAAAACACAGAAAGGCATGAATCCACATTTTAATTTACTTATGTGGTTAAATCATATGACAATAGTGATTCCCCCAAACAAGCAAAATTAACTTTAAAAATACAGGGAAAGTGCTGTATCCCCTGGGGTGGGGCCTGCTCTGACTCCACTGCAGGTCCTTTCCATTTGGGTTCAGGTGGAGGCCTCAGGCTTGAGGTCCTGGGTTGCAGCCCCCGTACCCAAAACAAAACAAAACAAAAAATTCAGTTTATTGCCCTTTCCAAAAAATAATATATATATATATATATATATATACACACACACACACACACACACATATGTGTTTGTTTGTATGTGTGTGTATATATCACAATAAAAGACCTTTTCTATGGAGAGTTATATGAGATAAGGCTTGCACCCCCACCTATGTGTGCCTCATTTGGGGAACTACCAGGTTTCTGCTTGTGCTGAATGATATCATGATTATTTATAGCCTCCTGTGAGAAAATGTAATTACAGAACAAATCATATAGTGGTGATGATTTTTTTTTTAAGGTACTAGGAACTGATCTCAGTGGCACTCAACCACTGAACCACAGTCCCAGCCCTATTTTGTATTTTATTTAGAGACAGGGTTTCCCTGAGTTGCTTAGCACCTCACTTTTGCTGAGGCTGGCTTTGAACTCACAATCCTCCTGCCTCAGCCTCCCAAACCGCTGGGATTACAGGTGTGCACCACCATGTCCAGCAATCTTTTTTTTAATCACTTGGAATGAGGTAAGCAGGGAGAGCACTGGATACTTGTTTATGCTTTGAGAATGGCTCCCCTCATCTATTTCTTCTGATACTTCCACTGAACTTCCATTGAGCAAGCCACATAACACTGAATTCCCCATCAAGGTTTTAGTTAGATGACGACTTCCTCTTTTGATTTTTGCAGTTCTGTTGATAATTAATTGTGTCCAAACCCAAACTGAAGATTGATCCATGACAAGCAATGGCCCTGTCTGGCTGTGGCATCATAAAGCATCAGAGAAACTTGGGAAAGAAAAGCACAAATTACTTCCAAATTTTCATGACAGAGATCGGATGTGTCTGAGTTGTCGGAGATCAGAGCTGGGATAACTTAGATCTTCTAATCCTAGTACAATGTTTTTTCTCCTGAACCATGATGTTTATTTCAGCTTTACTGTCCTATTAAAAACAAATTAGTTTAAAACTGACAGTTTTTCACCAAAATGCTAAAAAAAAAGCCCTCAAATGAAAATACAACATGAATAGGGTAAGAGCAAATAATTAATTCCACATATTAACAGCCTACATCAAGTGAAAGGCTTCTAAAGTATACATACACAGCACTGTGGAGAATATTTTTAAAATAAGTTTTATTGAGACATAATTCACATACCATAAAATTTGTCCTTTCTTAAAAAACAATTCAGTGGTACTTCATATATTCAGAGTTGTACAAACATCACTACTATGTAATTTCAGAGCATTTTCATCACTACCAAAAAACTCTGTACCTGGTATAAGTCATTCTTCCACCCCAACTCCCTACGACCCTCTAGCAAATACTGTTTCTATGGATTTTCCTATTTTGGACATTTCATATAAATAGAATCATGATAGGCAGTCTTTTGTGAGTAACTTCCTTCACTTAGTATGTTTTCAAGGTCCATCCATATTATAGCATGCATTAGAACTTCATTCTTTTTGTTTTTGTTTTGTAGTACTGGGGATTGAACCCAGGGGCACTGTACCACTCAGTTATATCACTAGACCTTTCTTAGATTTTAAAATTTTGAGACAATGTTTCACTAATTTACCAAGCTGACCTTACATTTGCAATTCTCCTGCCTCAGTCCCAAGTCGCTAGAAGTATAGGAATGTGCCACCATGCCCAGAACTTCATTAAGGCTGAATAATAATCCATTGTATGGATATACTATATTTTGTTTATTCATTGACTAATGGACATTTGGGTTTTTATTACCTTTTATCTAGTGTGAATAACTGCACTATGAATATGTATGGACAATGTTGACATGTGCCTTTTGTGTGGATGTATATATCTCTTGGGTATACACTTAAGAGAATTGCTGGGTCATGTGGTAACTTTATTTTAAACTTTTTGTGGAACTACTAAACTATTTTCCCAAGATCCTATACCATGCTCTTGTCCCATGAGCAACATTATGAGGACTCTAGTTTCTTCATATCCTCACCAATACTTGATATTATCCCAACAGTGGAGTTATTGTAACAAAATAAATCCAGGGTGAAGGGAGTGCCCACTGAGCTTCAGAGTGACATCAGAGAATGTGGGCAAGCATATTCTCTCACCAAGCACAGGCCACTCCACCAGCAATAGGGAACAATGTTGATAATACTGCTATCCTACTCTGTGGTGCCTCCCTGACAGCTCAGGGTAGGGCTTCTCAAAATGTAGTCCCCAGACCAGCACCATGTGCTTTACTGGGAACCAGTTATGAATGCTCAAACCCAATGAGTCAGAAGCTATGGGGACCCAGCTTGTGCCTTCCGGTGATTCTGATGCCTGCTTGAGTCAGGCAAAGGCAGAGTCCAATGCAGAACATCTACGATTCTGAACACCAGCTTTAGCCATCTTGTTAGTGATCATTAATACACACCAAATCCTCAACCCCTGCAAATGAGGCTGACAGTGTCATAGGAAAGAACTTTTTGAAGGATTCAGCCATGCAACCCAAGTGGGATGGCTTGATACCGTGCGGTAATGAGGAACACTTGCTGATGTAAAATGCTCACCACAAATTTTGGACGTGGAAAACCCAATAAATAGGAACTTCAAAGCACCTTCTAAAGCCCAGTAACATAGCTATTGTTTGCCTCAATTTTCTTTTCTAAATATTTTTATCCATTCCAAATTACAAAGAGTATGCTGTAACAGTTCTTTTTTAAAAAACTCATTGGAGCCAGGTGCAGTGGCACACAACTGTAATTCCAGGGGCTCAGGAGGCTGAGGCAGGAGGATCTTGAGTTCAAAATCAGCCTCAGCTACTTGGTGAGGCCCTAAGTAACTTAGCAAGACCCTGTCTCAAAATAAAATATTAAAAAAAAAAAAAAAAGGTTGGAGATGTGGTCAGTGGTTAAGCTGTATTCAATCCCTGGTACGAAAACACAAACAAACAAAATCTCATTGGAAAGGGGTTACACAAGAAGCTTCATAGAGAAATCATTTAAATCAGTGATTTAAATGATTCACATTAATGCCATGTGAACAGACCACAAACACTCTGGATACCCCATATGTTAAATCTTTTTTTTTTTTGGTGCTGGGGATCAACCCCAGGACTTCACAAATGCTAGGCATGTGCTCTGACACTGAGCTATACCCCTAACCCTCAATGCCATTTTTAAATTCTTTTCTTTTTTTTTTTTTTTAAAGTTAGAGCTTTATGGCTATACATAGTATAACTATAAAGACCTGACAAACTCATATATCATGGAAATTGATTTCAGTTCATGATCCTTCCTTTTCTCTTCCCCTTTTCCCTACCCTCTTCCCTTCTCCTTCTACTGGACTTCCTTTCACTCATCTATTAATTTGTATTTGACTGGTTCTTTATGTACTCTTATCCTTCCCTCCCCTTTCCTTTATTTTACTCTAGATTCCATAAATGAAAGAAAACATTTGACCTTAAGTTTCTGAGTTTGGCTAGTTAACTTAGCATGATATTCTCCATTTCCATCCATTTACTGGCAAATGCCATAATTACATTTTTTTTAATGGCTGAGTAGAACTCCATTGTATATACATATATACCATAATTTCTTAATCCATTCGTCTATTGATGGGCATCTGGGTTGATTCCATAATTTAGATATTGTGAATTGTGCCGCTATAAACATTTTTTCTTCAATACCATTTTTTAAACTATATAGAGAAACCATTATTTGAAGAATCACTGTCTTTTTCATATACTGCCAGTTAAAAATCGTCTGCCTATATATTTCTCATAAGCTCATAAATTCAGTTATTAGGGGCAACAGAACCTCTTTATAGCTACACTTTTATTACTTCCTTCAAATATGAGTAGATCACTATTTTTCTGCATCTCAGCCAGGAAGCAAATGGCCTCAGAAAGATGAAGCCAGCTTTAAATCAGACCCAGTTTGCTCTTAATTAAAACCTCCATCCAGTTGCCAGGAGAGGTAGAACACACTCAAATGTACAGATGAAGCCAGGCACTGATGTGCACACCTATAATTCCAGCTACTCCAGAGGCGGAGGCAGGAGGATCTCAAGTTCAAGGCCAGCCTCAGCAATTAACTGAGACCCTGTCTCAAAAACTAAAAAGAGCTGGGGATGTAGCTCAGTGGTAGAGTGCTTGCCTACCATGTGTGAGGCCATGGGTTCATTCCCAGGTACCACAGAAAAAATGACCAAAAAAACCCCCCCAAAAGGCCAAGTGGACATAGAAAAAAAAGCCACATAGCTGAATAAACAAACAAACAAACAACAACAACAAAAAAAAAACCATAGGGCTTACACAAAAAAACCACCATCAGAGTAGAACTGCTATAACTTCCATTCGGTCCTCAAACCCCACCCTTCAATGGCTGCACTGATTTTTATAACATTTCTCTTGTCTGAGACATCACAGTATCTCTGAGTAAATTCAAAACCTTTTGATAATATCCAGAATATCCTGAGCAGTGGGTCTTTCTGCAGGATTCTGGCTCTTACAGGCCTTATGAATATCAAACAAATGGAATCGAACCATATCACTACCCTCAACGTGCCCCAAAAGGAAACTGGAAACATCTGGAATCTTCCAGATATCAATCTTCTCATCATATGAGGGCATGAGATCATCATGAAAAGGTATGTCCTCTCCATAAGGCCATAATTGCTCAGGAGCTATAAAATCCCCATGAAGCTCCCTGTGGCCACATTTCACAAATGTCCCAGAGCTGTGGTTCACCAGGGGTAAGGCATCTAAATAATTTGCCACAATGCTGAAGTTACTTGTTAGCAGATACTGAGATAGTGTCTTGGGCAGGTCATTAGAGTCACACATGACCAGCGTGCCCAGGGGGCTGTGGTGCAGGTAGTTAATGACACCAACATAATCCATGGCCAGCTGCAGCCTGTGCTGCCATGTATTCACATTTTGGTACTTTGAAAGGTTTAGTGTTTCTTCCAGGTTGCTCAAGGAACCTAAGGGGTGATATTCAGTAAGAATAGTGTTGTCTTCCTCACAGTAGCCAAGCAGTGTGACAATGTGTTTGCTTTGTAGAGATTTCAGCATCTGTAGTCCACAGAGGAAATCATCTCTCATTTCCAGACTGGTGAGCCGTGAGAGCGCAACTTTGCGTTCCTTCCACTCAGACAGACAGACCTGAAACAAAGCCAGAAGAACATCAAACCTAACCCTTGCACCTAAAGTGAGGCAAGAAAGAAAAATACTTTTTGTTTAACAGGTGTGGCACAGAAGACAAATGAATGAGACAAGAACCCAGTCTTTGCAGTCCTAGAGTTGCACTTTGTCTAGTTGTAAACACTCATTATGAACAAACATAACATGCAAGAAGGTGAACAACAAATTAGTGCATAAAATTTCAGCAGGAGGGACTGACTGTGGTCTGGATGTGAGAGCCAGCTGGAGATGACTCTGGAAGGTTCCTGGAAGTTGGTCTTAGAGGACTTGCAGCACAGATGTTGGACAAGGGGAAAGCAAGGCCCAGGAGGACAGGCTGCCTGTGTAAAGACCTGGGGCACCCAACTGCCTGCCAGTTCCAACTTACTGTAGCACAAAGGGTGCTTTTTGTACTTTATATCTTTTGGCATTTTCCAATTCTTTCAAAACAAACATACATTACTTCTATAATTCAAAAGATTAAGACTCAGAAACACTACATAAAATGGAAGTGGACTAAAGGATCTCAAATATTTCTTTTGGATTTAAGAAGAGAGGGTTTTTAATGGGAAAAAAAAAAAAAAACTAACCCTTCACCTTCAAAAGAGAAATCTTTCAAGACCTCAAACCCCCATAACCAAGAAATTTCATTATGGATCTTTTCTATTGGGGGGAAAAAGTCATTTTTACTCTGGCTGCTACATTCAGTAAAACTTTGATGAATTTATAAAATTTTCAAATAAACATATTCCATAGATTTGTATTGCCACTGAATTTGATATTTTGACTCTAATAAAAAAATAAAAATAAGACTTTGTCAAGATCCATCACTTTTTTTTCTTTCTTTTTTTTTTTCTTTTTGGTACCAGGGATTGAACCCAGGGGCACTTAAACACTGAGCCACATCCCTAGCCTTTTTTATATTTTATTTAGAGACAGGGTCTCATTGAGTTAACTTAGGGCCTCACTAGGTCGCTGAGTCTGGCTTTGAATTCATAATTCTCCTGCCTTAGCCTCCCGAGCTGCTGGGATTACAGGCCTGCACTTGCCTGGCTAAGACCCATTCTTTGGACCTATTGTGCATGGTCATGACTAGTGCTGACAGATGGCTTTGGTAGGTTTTGTTGTTGTTGTTATTGTTTGGTTGTTTTATTTTTTTTGTTTTGTAGTACTGGGATGAAACCCAGAGCCTCCCACATACTATGCAAACACTTTAACACTGAGCTAAATCCTCTTGCCTTTTTTTTTTTTTTCCCTGAGACAGGGTCTCACTAAGTTACCTAGGCTGATCCTGAATTTGGTTTCCTGCTACTCATTCTCCCAAGTAACAGGGATTACAGGCATGTGCCATTGTGCCTGGCTTGGTTTTGGTTTTCAAGGCCCATTTTCATACAAAAACAAATTTCACCTTAAGGAAGCTGCTACCTTATGTTCAACAATAAATCATGGAAGAGGCAGATGGGGCCCCAACTGATTTCCTCCTGAATCCTCAATTATGTCATATTCATTTTTGTGCCTCAGATAAATTAAAGTTATTTGTTAATAAATATTATTAGTCTTTGGGATGACTCACAAATATCTAAAACCTCTAGTGTTAAAAATATGCAAATCTTTTGCCAAAATACATTCTATAATTATATGTAACTAAAAAGAATAAATAAAAAAAATTTAAATCTGCAAATCATGGATTTTACGAATCATTTCCTAGCAATCTCTAGTTATTTTTTATCACTTTCTAAAACAATTATATTTGGAGACAACAGCAATGTGTTCATCTTTTATTTAATTGTAAAACTAATCATAAATAGTCTTCTTGGTATAAAAAAATCAACTACAGAAAAATATTTTCTTTCTCTCTCTCTCTCTCTTTATTCAGTACTGGGGATTGAACCCAGGGGCACTCTACCACAAAGCTACATCTTCTGCCCTTTTTGTTTTTGTGGTTGAGAGGGGATCTTGCTGAGTTGACAGATATAGGTTCCAAAAACACCCACTCTGAGCATGAATCCACCTAACATAACTAACATGGATGCAACATCTTAAAGTTTATAAACACTTTCATGTACATCTGCTTTCATTCTCATGATCCACAGGAAACCCTCCAGGTGTTTAAATTATCCTCCAACTTGTGATCATTCTGCCTCAGCCTCTCAAGTTGCTGAGATTACAGATAGGTGCCATGGTGCCTGGGAGCATTTTTCATCTGTATCAGCATTTCTGTATATTTACTATAAAAAGTCTGGTCATTGTCCTTCATCCAATTTTTCTATAGGGCTATTTGCCTGTCCCTTATTTATTACTAGGAACTTCTTATATCACCCATGTGATGTGATCCTTTAATATAAATGTAAAAGATATAGAACATAGCTCATGTAGTCTTTTCATAAAGCAAAGAATTTAACTGTAGTCAAATGTGTCTTCGTTCATTTAACAATAATTTATGTCAACCAGGTGAGGTGGCACACACATATAATCCCAATGACTTGGGAGGCTGAGTCAGGAGGATCACAAGTTCAAAGCCAGTCTTAGCAACTTGTGATACCCTTAGCAACTTAGTGAGACTCCGTCTTTAAGTTTAAAAATAAAACCAGAAAGGTCTGGAGATGTAGCTAGTGGTAAAGAGCACCTCTGAGTTCAATCCCCAGGAAGGAAATGGGAGGGGGGGTAGGGAGAATTTATGTCAAAGAAAAAAGAACTGGGGTTCTATCTAGCTCAGTGGTAGAACCTAGCATGCCTAGCATGTGGGGGCCCTGGGTTCAGACCCCAGCACTGCTGGAAAAACACTGACATAACTGCAATGATAAAATTTACATTCTACTACAGGAGGTAGGCAACAAAATAAATAGGAAACATATAAAGTATATTATCAGGTGAAATGTGTTTTAGAATAAAACAGGGAAGTGTTTGCAATTTTAAGATAGGGCTTGGGAAGATCTTGTTGGGGTGTCTGAGCAACAAATTGAAAGAGATAAGGGAATGGGCCATTTTGATATAGGGAAAAACTTCATCCTAGGCAGAAAACATCAGGGCCAGATGCCCTGTAGGGAAGTACAGCCACAGACTCTCAGCGCAGAAAGGCTGGGCTGCTAGAGTGGGAAGGGCAAGGCATAAAGGAGTAGGTAAAAGTTTAGTGAAAGGGAGCAGATATTGTAAGGCTTTACTGAAAGAACTTTGCCAGATGGGGTGGCACACACCTGTGATCCCAGCAATTTGGGAGGCTGAGGCAGAAGGACTGCCAAGTACAAGGCCAGCCTCAGCAACTTAGCAAGACCCCGTCTCAAAATAAAAAAATGAAAAGGGATGGGGATATGGCACAGTGGTAAAATACCCCTCTGTTTAAAATCCCCAGTAGCAAACCAAAAAAAAAAAAGGAGGGGACTCTGGACTCTTACTTTTTCAGAGTGAGAAAGTAATTCACTGGAGGATTTTAAGGGAGAAAAAAACAACCCATATTTGACTTATAATTTAATAATCTGGCCTATTGTTTTAACAGACTGAAGGGAGTACAGGGGCCATGAAAGCAGAGACCCTTCTTGTTTTTGTTTGTTTGTTTGTTGTGGCACTAGGTATTGAACCCAGGGGTGTTCTACCACTGAGCTACATCAGTCCTTTTCATTTTTTATTTTGAGACAGGGTCTAAGTTACCCAGGCTAGCCTCAAACTTGTGATCCTCCTGCCTCAGGCTCCCAGGTAGCTGAGATTATAAGCATGCACCATCACACCCAGCTTGGGTCTTTCAATGTAATCTTAGGTTTAAAAACCCAAAATGGATGAACCCCGAACTGTTATTCCTAGGAAATAAGACTGACGACAGAGAGAGCAAGAGGAAGGAAAAGGAAACTTTAACTTTCTACTTTGCCTCCTATTAAATACTTGAATATACTGCTTTTATAATTAAGAAAAAAAAGGAATAAAGAAAAAGCAATAGGCCAACCTGCCTACCATAAACAGGTTACTATAGTTTATGGGCAAAGCTACAAATTGCTATAGGTACAGGATACAATGCCCCTGGCCATTCCAAAAACAAGCAAAAAAAAAAAAAGTCTGGGGAAGACAAGGGAGTGGCACAGTTTGTATATATTGAGGAAACTATCTGAGATTAAATCAACATTTTAGGTACTGAGAATTCAATTAAAGAGTTTTTGTGCTCTGGCCCCCAAAATGTGTCCTAGATACAATAAGGTATGGCTAGATGCTCTGGACCCACCTTCTGTGCTCTCAGGGGACTTACACATTTATAAGAGACACAAACAAAAAACAAGATAAATGAGAACGAGAAGATATGGTAAGGGTGGGACTTAGGGACATCAGGGAGGGAATTCCTGTTAGAAAAGTAACAGAACTCTGGGAGTGGTGGCACACATCTCTAATCCCAGCTACTCAGGAGGCTAAGGCAGGAAGATCACAAATTTGAGGCCAGCTTGGGCAGCTTATTAAAACCCCCTCTCAAAGTAAAAAGGGTGGGGATGTGACTCACTGGCAGAGCATCACTGAGTCCAATGCCTATCTCCAGTACTGGGCTGGGGAGTGGCAGAGCTTCAGGCAGAGAAAGACCCATAAGAAAGGGCTTGGTTTAAACAAGGAACAAAGGAAAGACTACAAGACAAGGAGTGAGAATCCTGGTAAGAGTTCTGGGAGGGAGGAAGGATCCACAGCAGGGAGGGTGGAGCAAGAGGGATAATTAAAAGGTTAATTTTTTTTCCCCCAAGGGACAACAGGAAGCCACCAAATGCGTGTTAAGGAAGAAAAATGGCATGATCCAATATGTCTAGAAGACAACTGTATATAGTAGTCGGCAAAAGCGTAAGCAGGGAGACTGTTAGATGGCAAGAGGGGAGTCTGTGGACAGATTCTGTTGAGCACACTGGGACATATTCTGAAAATAGAACTGTCACAACCTGGTCCCTCAATAAGAGAAGTTTCCCTAGAGTGCTGGTGTTTTGAAGACACACTGGAAGAGGATGAAAGAGTGAGAGCAAGGAAGGTGGAAATAGAGTTAGGGCAGCTTTCTGTGATGGAAGTAGAGAAAGGACAGGAGCTACAGAGGCCTGGGGAATCAAGGGAACAGGACTTTGTTTTTTAAAGAGAGTATGTCTGTATACCAATAGTAATGATGTTCAGAGTGGGAAGGCTGACAATGCAGGGAATCACTTAAATTACGTGGAACCTTGGGAATTAGGAATGAGAGCTGAGCTGCTGGTTTATAGATCTGGTGGAAGTAGAATGAAGATATTCCCTTTGGATGGTTTCTGGTTTCATATCTCATAAAACAAGATCATTGGATAAGACAAAGGATGGGAATGTTTGAGGAAAAACTTCTCAGGGATTGGGAATGAAATTTCCAAGGATAGTTCTCTGTGCTTACCTGAAGTTTGTCATGGTGCATTTAAATTATGTGATTGTGGGATTTCTCTCTTACTCCAGTATAGCTGCTCAAGTCCAAGAGCAGAGTTGGGTTTCAAGAGCAGCCAGGCATGATAGAGACAGATGTAATGGAGTTGTTCCAACTCTTTGTAAAAGAATGATGAAAATAAAAACCCGTGGAATCTCTGCTAGGGGAATCAGGAGGTAGAGACAGGAGGGGTGTCATAAAGTAAAAAAGCATGAGATGGATACTCTGAAATTCTCCATGGAATTGAGGAACTGCTGGATCAAGAGAGTTAGAAGAGGAGGTGGAGGTCAGAATGAAATGTCAAGAATTTTGACTTTAGAAATCCCACTGAAGGGGATGAGATTGAGATGTAGTTCAGTCATAAAGCACTTGCCTAGCATGCATGAGGCCCTGGATTCAACCTGCAGACTGTAAAAAAAGAAAGAAATTCCTACTGAAAAACCTGTTCCTTCCATGTGGAGAGGAGGTGGGGCATTGAGATGGAATGGAATTGAGTTACTCACAGCTATTCCAATAAGTGACTATATTCAGGATACTGATACTCTCCTCTGTGCCAAACTGCACAGATCCTGAGGCTCTGACAGGGGAGAAGGCAGACAAGGCTCCTGACCAACACTATTAATACCCAAGTGTTCAAAATATTTTGTCCTGAGGGAGGGAAGTGTCAGCTAAAGAAAAACCCAACAAAAGAATATAATGGCATTTTGTTCACACTTTACTTTTATTTTGAAACAAGGTCAAAATAAAGTTAGCTTTTAAGTTACAATCTTCCTGCCTCAGCCTCCTGAGTAGCTGGGATTACAGGGGTGTGCCATCATGCCTGGATAGTCACATTTCACTTTAATAAAATGATAGTGCTTAGGCTTATTAGCCATACTACTAAATTTCATATTTGGATGAACATGATTTGCGGCTCCCTAAAATTAAATCTGTCTATCTACAAATGATAATAACTTGCCATCATCAAAATCATATTCCCTGGGAGGAAAGAAGCAATTCCAACAAATTCCAAAAATGCTCTGAACAATTACAACCACAGACACAACACATTCAAGGTCACCTCTTAGTATGTACATTTTCCCTCCAGTACTGGGGATGAACCCATGGCCTCATGCATGCTAGCACTCTACCACTGAGCTACATCCATTTTGTGACAGAATCTTCCTAAGCTGCAGGGGCTGGCCTCAAACTTGTGATGCCCCTGTCTCAACATCCCAAGTAACTGGGATTACAAGCATACACCACTGTACCAGCTTTCAAGGACATCTCTTTGAAGAAGATAGAAATGAGCTGGTTTTATGTCCTCTTTTCTATCTATATCCCTTATTTGGTGATTTTTTCCACATTCTAATACTTTCAAATGCATATAAATAATATTGAGTCTCAAATTTATATTCTCTCAGACCTCATCCATTATGCTGGGCTTGCACATCTAACTGCCCACACCCCCACCTGGATGTCTCACACCAGAATTAACATGTCCATCTCAGACACACAGAATCTCTTCATTCTCTCATACCCCACATCCAGTCAATTAGAAAATCCTATTGTTAATACCTTGAAAATATGTCCAGAATCCACTGATTTCTATTTCTGTTACTAACACTCTTGTTAAGCCATAACCATCCCTCACATGCAAAAAAGCCTAACCAGTCTTCCACCTTTGCCACCTTTCATCCACTCTTCACATAGCAGCTAAGATAATCCCTTTACAAAATAAATTTCTCTACTAAAATTTTTCCAGTGGTTCTCAAAGTTCTGTGAGGCCTGGCATAACCTGGCTCCCAATTTGACCCTCTCAGACCTCACGGACCTCTTTTTCTTTTCCTGCTCTCTGGTCACACTAGGTTCCTTCCTGCTCCTTGAACAACCAGGAATGTTCCCTGCACAGAGGAATGGGGCCTCTTCCCCAGATGCCCACACTCTCAACATGGTCTCCCATTGCTCTGGCCAATGTCCTCTCCTAAAGAATGACAAGCACATCATTTCTTTGCCTGTTTTGTCTTCTTAACACATCATAATGTAACTTTCTTATTTTTCTTAGTATCTGACTTTCCAACTAAAAAAGAAATCAGTGTCTTTGTTTCTTTCACCACTCTACCCATGGCACCTACAATGAATAAAGTACTTTCTACAAATTCCTTCCCCTTCTCCCTAACTCCTTCCTTTAAGATGCCTCCATCTATATTCAGGAGGAAACCATGGCATCCTCATTAGCCATTTATCAAACTGCAGCTTTGTAGGTGCATTTCCTGATCTCTCCCTGCCTTTTGCCTGTTGCAAATTCACAAAGAAACTTTCTTCGTTCAACAATCTTTAATTGTCTTCTAAAGCCACTGACTGCGTCATTTCCACAGAAATGACAACCATATAGAGTGTAGCATACACTGGTTATCAACGGGACAAAGATCTTGGAGTTTCTATATGAAAACTGAATTGATTCCTTGATGTCTCTTTTCAAATAAAAGAAAATTTTAAAAATCAATAATACCGAGCTGGGGTTGTGGCTTAGCCGTAGAGCGCTCGACTAGCACGTGCGAGGCCCTGGGTTCGATCCTCAGCATCACATAAAAATAAACAAAATAAAGGTATTGTGTCTTAACTATAACTTTAAAAAAATCAGAAATACCATCATGGTTTAAAAATCAAGAAAAAAACTGCTCATAATTCCCACTTTGTCTTATACAATTTCTGCCACTTTTGCATTTTTCCACAAAAATATTTAATTTTGCAGTTGAAAATAACATACTACACAATTCTAAATCTTCCTTTTTTTAACTTATTTTCTTTTTTCATTACTGAAATGATTTTTTAAAAATTTATTCTAATTTCTTAAGATTTTCTTCCTGTTGCTACATGAGTAATCCTAACTACATTTAAATAGCTATAGAATATTCCATCAAGTGGTTGAACCATAATTTAACTAATTGTTCTCCTAAAATTGTTGGTCCTAGTTTTCCATTAGTATAGTACTCCTTTATGCATTTAGCTTTTTTCCTTCCTTCAGATTCTTTTCTTCTTTTAAAATTAAAATCCCAGATATGAGATTACTGGGCTCAAAGACAGATATAAAGAGCCTTTATGGATCTTTAAGACAGGATCTCCTATGTGGCCCAGACTAGCCTCGAATTCCTGAGCTTAAGTGATCCTTCTGACTCAACCTCCCAAGTGCTAGGACTAGAGGCAGGTGCCACTACATCCACTTCCTTTTATGGGTCTTAGCCCAGAAAGCCAAATTGTTCTCCCAAAGAGCTGACACAAGTGATAATGCAGAAGAAAACCATGTACTCACTCTCTTCACGGCTCCTTCCCCAACACGCTTCAACTGTCTCACTTCTGTCCTCAGCTCCTCACAGGACAGCCAGGGTGAACAGTTTTTCATCTGCCCCATTTTGAAGTAACCATATGGACAAGATCTAGGGTCCTTGGTGGAATGTTGAGGGGATATGAAAAATCGGTCGAAGCAGAGGTAAAGGACCACATTCATAAGGGCCATGGCGAGCAGCAGCCCAACAACACGAGGGACTTCTCTGTGGGTCAGTCCTTTCCTGCTCTCCTGGGCTTTCCTTTCCATGTTGTTATCCTGTATCAGTTCCTGCAATATAACAAGAGACAAGAAGCAATAACACTTTCAGCTATAATTTCCATGAAGGTTTTGATGACACTGCCCTGAAGGTAGCTACACCCTCTCATGCCTCCCCACTCGTAGGTCCTATAAGTTTTGGAGTCACATGAGGAGCAAGAGAGGAACTGAACATTAGGCTTATATTAACCACTCAATTTCAGCTTTTCCCGCACCCCCATATCATTATTCTTTTTCTAAATTTTTTGGCAACAGGGATTGAACTCAGGGGCACTTAACCTCTAATTCACAACCGTACCCCCGACCCTTTTAAATTTTGAGACAGGCTTTTGCTAAGTTGCTGAGGCTGGTTTTGAACTTGCAATCCTCCTGCCTCAGCCTCACAAGTTGATGGGATTATAGGCATGTGCCGCCTGGCTCATTATTCTTTATTAAATTAAAATTTGGATTCATCTAGATTATGCAGAATGGGAGATGTCTGCCTTTGACTCTGTCTTACAGCACTTTGCACTAAGTAGATATTCATTAATATTTAGTAAAATAAAAGCAGTGGTGCTGGGGCAGAAGATGGACAAAGGGGTACGTTAGTAGGTCGGGCCCACTTGAACCCAGCTAAGAAACTGGGATGTTGCTTGGAAGGTATTCAAAAGCCCTTGAGAAGGTGGAGCTGTAACTCAGTGGCAGAGCACTCACCTAACATGTGCAAGGCCTAGGTTTCAACCCTGGCGGGGGGGAAAAAAGTTCATGGTTTATTTTTTCATTTGTGTTTCTATAGATTGAACCCAGTGTCTTGGGTATACTATGTGAGTACTCTACCACTGTGCTACACCCCCAGCCCAAACTCTGAACATTTTATATATTTTTTTAATTGTAGATGAACACAATATCTTTATTTTTTAATTTTTATATGGTGCTGAGGATCGAACCCAGTGCCACATGTGTGCCAGGTGAGCACTATACCACTGAGCCACAGCCACAACCCCCAAACTCTGAACATGCCAAATTGTTTTCCCAAAGAGCTGATATGAAAGGTGAGTCTGGGATGTTCCTTGGAAGGTACTTGGAGGCTTGGAGACCAGTTAGGAGGACCTGGAAATGATCTGAGATAAGAATCAAAAAATTTATGAGCTAGAATAAGGGTGGTAAGATTAGAAAAAGAACTCAGGTGACAGTGGCAATAAGTAACCCTGAGAAGGGATGGACTCCAGCAATGGAGCCACTATAGGGTCTGTGTTGGAGGGGTCCAGATGGGGAACAGGCCTGGGGAAAGACAATGAGCAGAGTGCTTCTCACTCAGGATGCTGGGGGCAAAGGCTATGTATGAAGCAGAGTAGAGGACCATCAGTATAACAGATAAAGCCATATTACTATGTGTCAGCTGAATATAGGCACTGGGATGCCCAGAGATACTAGTGATAGAATTGCCTTGTGTGCTACTTGTGCCAGATACAACTATGACATGAAACTTTACCTTCCAGGAGCATCTTCCTTCTCCCAGCTAGGTCTCCATCCAGTTGTCTTTGTCAAACAGTGTTCTCGTTGGTCTCAGGGACTGGTTTGAAAGTCCTCTTCCATGAAGGACCAAAAAAGGAGGTTTGTTAAAGAAAAATTGCAACTCTGTACACAGATAAGTCATAGCAGTCCAAATGATTCATTCTTCTTTCCTAGAGGCCCTCCTAGTGACCAGATGTCTCTTGGACTTTCAAGCTCCAGGAGCTACAGGGAAAGCCTTGGACAACCTGGCCAGCATCACCAAAACCCTGTCAGCCTATGTGGGTGCAGACCCCCACATTTCCTCACCAGTCTCTATTTGGTTCCAATCTGCTTTTTCCACCATATTAAATAATGTCCACTGGCCCATCTCTGCACTGAGCACTTGAAATACATGAGTGAATTAAACAGACATGGTTCCTATCCTCTTAGAGCTTAATGAAAAATCAGGCAGGAAAGACAGATAATAAATAGGTAAATAAAATTCATCATTATCCTGTGATGAGGATTCAAGGATAGAGAATAAATGGTTGAAGAATCCAAGAAGACCTTTCTGAAGATATAACATTCATATCAAGCCCAGAGGCCTGAGAGGAGCCAGCCAGAAGACAGCTCTTTCATACCTTGTCCTTAAGGAAGTAAAATCTACCTTCCAACAGACATATGAAAAATGCTCAATTCCACTTGTCTTGAAGGCAAATGCAAAAAAAAATAAGAATTATGAAATACATCTAGGATGGTTACAATCAAAATAAATCGAGCAATAAGAAATGTTTGTGAGGTTAAAGAAAAACTGTAGTCCTCATATATTGCTGGTGGGAATGTAAAATGTAGCCACTGTGGCAAATAATATAGCATAATATAGTATTTCTTTTTTTCTTTTTCTTTTTTGGTACTGGGACTTGAACCCAACGATGCTTTACCACTAAGCCATATCCATAGCCCCTTTTTATTTTTTATTTGAGACAGGGTCTCACTAAGTTACTTAGAGCATTGCTAAGTTGCTGAGGCTGGCTTTGAGCTTGCAATCCTCCTGCCTCAGCCTTCCCAGCTGTGCTACTATGCCTAGCACAATACAGCATTTCTATTTCAAACATATTTACCATATCACCCAATAATTCCATTGCTCAGAATATACTTATATGAATTGAAAACATACATCAAATGTTTATATTTGTACACAAATGTTTATAGTAGCATCATTTATTTATTTTAAATATCTTTATTTCAGTTATTTAGTTTTATGTGGTGCTGAGGATCGAACCCATGGTCTCACACATGAGAAGCGAGCATTCTACCACTGAGCCACAACCCCAGCCCAAGTAGCATTACTTATAACACACAAAGAATAGAAATGACTCCAATTAGTTAATAAACGGATAAACAAAATGTATCACATTCATAAATGGATTATTATCCAGCCATAAAAAGGAATAAAGCACTATTACTGCTAGAACAGGGATGAACCTTAAAGACATTATGGTCAATGCAAGAGGCCAGACACAAAAAGCCACATGTTGTATGATTTCATTTATATGAGATGTCCAGAATAGGCAATTCCATGTAGACAGAAAACAGAAACGTGATTGCACAGAGTTTGGGGGGCAAGGAGATGAGGAATGGCTACTAATTAACATGGGATTTCATTTTAGATAAAAAAATTCTGGATTTAGTGGTGATAGGTGCACAATCTTATAAATATGTGCTTAAAAAAATCAAGGAATTGTACACTTTTAAATGACAACTTTTATAGTATCTAAATTATGTTTCAATTGAAAAAGATAAAATAACAAACTGTACTTCTGATCTTTTTCCCTAATCTATTCTTTCTGTGCTGTTCACAAGCTCTGTGAATGATTACTCCATCCTTCTATTTCCTAGCCAGTGACGCTGTAGGAGGGACCAGCATATAAGTACTGCTTTTTCTAACCTGGGAATTTTTAAATAATTTATTCTTCTATAATTTGAATATATATATATGTGTGTATATATATATATATACACATATATATATAATTTTTAAATATTTTTTAGTTGCAGATGGATACAATATCTTTATTTTATTTATTCTTATGTGGTGCTGAAGATCAAACTCAGTACTTCACGCATGCAAGGTAAGCACTCTACCACTGAGCTACAACCCTAGCCCATAAATATATATATATATTTTCTTAATTGGCAAAGGAAAATGCTGCTTGTTTAGCCTTGCTGTCATTAAAGACGCCCAGGAAACCCTGACTATGGAACCACTTCTGTTTCACTCTATACCTTCCCTCTCCTGGACATAATGCCAGCTGCTTGCTCACCCCACTACCTCAGCCTTCCCAAGTGAGCCTGTCCATGGTCAGGATGATCATTTGCTTACCTTTCTCATAAAGCTTCCAGGCCCACATCTTTCTCTCTGGTCCATTCCCTCATATCACCTTCGGGATCTTCAATTGAAATTATAACTTTTACTACTAATGTCTTAGTCTCTACAGCTGATTCTTGGAAGGTACACATAAAGAAATAGATAAAATGGTTGCAGTCTCTTTTACAATAATTAAAGTGACCAAGTGTTTCTCAACTTAGACCTCAGGTCAGGGAGCAGCAAACTTCTTTTTATAAAGTAACAAATGGTAAATATTTAGGCTTAGCAGCTATAAGTCAAAGTCTAGCAATAAACCTATCACTGTGATTTGCAGTAAACTGAGAGGTGGTGCAAGGTAACATCTGGTCCTATATTGTCTCTGTCAAAATTATTCAACTCTGTCACCAGAGTGTGAAAACAGCTCCAAACAATATAACAAATGTGTGTGGCTCTGTTCCAGTAAGATTCATTTATGGACACTGGAATCTAAATTTCATATATTTTTCATGTATCATGAAATATTATTCCTTATTAGATCCCAACCACCCCCACAATACTTAAAAAAATAAAAGCATTCTTAGCTATTAGGCTATATAAAAACAGGCAGTGGGCCAGAGCTGGCCAATTGCAGCATCAGGTGATATTCCTTTGGCCAAGGTCATCTCATCCACATCTGTGGCTTCAGTGGCTCTCTAAATATTTATGATTTCTAAGTCTATATTGCATCCCTGATTTTTCTCCTAAACACTTCACTTAATAGGTTCTTCAAGGTCTGGGATGACAACAGCTGACTCCAGAGACTCTTTCCTGTCCTCACCATGCCCCTTCTCTAGGGTTTCTACTCTGGACACACAACCTACCCACTCACTAAGTCATGAACCAGGGTGACTTGAAACCAACCAATCAGCACACATAGCCAATTCTATCACCCAAACCTCTTCAAATCTGTTCATATTTGCCCTTCCTTGCCACCTCTGCCCTGGTATTAAGTCATCAATATCTCTTACCTGAACTTCTGCAAGAGTTTCCTGCATGGTCTCCCCCTTCTTTCTCTTTTCCAATCCATTCTCCACACAGCAGATAGGATCTTTTCCTTTAATAAAATGTTCCAAGAGAAAAATAAAAAGTAAAACTGTGCATATCTATTTGGCTTTGCCAATTTACAATGTATATTTGTTTCCAATATTTTGTTTTGTTTTTGATACTGGGAAACAAACCCAGGGCCCTCAGAGGCTTAAGCACACATTCTACAACTGAGCCCAAACTTTGTGAAAGAAATAAAATAGTGTATATACATTTAAAACCACTCTGAAACCTGTCCAGTTTGAGTCACTCCATCCCAAGCAGCTGTCACTATCCTCACATTGGTATGTATCAGCAATTCTCAAACTGTGGGCCCTGGACCTGTCTGTAGTAGCACCTCACTGGGAACTTGAGAGAAATGCAAATTCTTAGGTATTTACCACACAAACAAATTCTGTTTTAGTAAGTTCCTCTAGGTGATCTGGACGCATACTAACGTTTCAGAACCACTGGTGTATGCAATCCTCTCACATGCTTTCTATTTTCACAAGTATGAACCCATAAGTAATAACACATTTTCAAGCTTTATACAGTGGTTGTGTACTTGTATTATCCATTTGCAACTAATGATGTTTTTGAAACTCAACAATGGTTCTGAGATTTATTTATGTACATAAAATGCCAGTTCACCTTTTTTTGGTACTGGGGATTGAACCCAGGGGCACTTTACCACCAACTTACATCCCCAGACCTTTTTGAGCTAGGGTCTCAAAGTTGCTTAGGGCCTTGCTAAATTGCTGAGGCTGGCTTTGAACTTGTAATCCTCCTGCTTCCCGCCCCACAAGCTGCTGGGATTACAGGCGTGAGCCACTGAATCTTGCCAGTTCACTATTTTTTTAAAATAATAATAATAACTTTATTTTTTTTGTCGTCATACATGTACTTTGGATACTATTTTTTAAATATATTTACTTTATTTATTTTTATGTGGCGCTGAGGATCAAACCCAGGGCCTCACATCTGTGAGGCAAGCACTCTACTACTGAACTATAACTCTAGTCCCTTCTAGTTCACTATTTGTAATCATTTGACCACACTATAAGTTTTTTATTTTTCAAAAGCTATACATATATTAAATACTGGGAAATACTAAATATCATAGACATCGACATTGCTGAGTTTTTATACTCTTGAACAACTCCCGAGAGCTATGGGGATGGTCACACAATGATCATTAAAGACAGAGTCCTGGTCCCTACCTGCCCTGGCAGTTTTAGTGAAACAAGTTTTGAACACATCTCCTTAGATATATGTGCAAGAGTTGCTTTCTGACAGATATAATGATTCTTCCAAATCACAGATTTAATTTCTTCTGGATTAAAAACATTCAACAGCTCCTACTTACACTCAGGAAAAAGTTCAAACTTTCAGAAGGTTCCCTGAGAGGTTGGGGATGTAGCTCAGTAGTTAGAACTGAGTTTCTTCACCAGCCTTCTAACCCCTATCTGCCTCTCCAGACCCTTCCCTGCCCTACACTCCAGCTCAAACTTTCTTCAGGCTCAAAAGCACCCTTTGGGGCTGCAGCTCCAGGTTTGGCTCATCTGTTCCTGTTAGACTGTTCTACAGAGGTCTGCCTGCCTGCTCTGTTCCCCACATGTCCTCAGCACCTGGCACACAGCAGACACTAGATAAGAAAGCATGACTGCTAATCACAGTTGACTTCACCATCTTCATTAATTCACTGTTTTCTCCCACCTGTTTTCATGCTCATTAACTCTGTTCTTCGTCTCTTTATGGTATCTGCCTTCTAATGTCTCTTACCCACCACCTCTTTCCATTTTTTTTTTAATTCTTTCAACCTTCAAGTTCTCCTTTATCTGTAACCTTCCACTGATCCTACCTTGTCACTAAGGATGGCTTCAGGTTTTATGGGGCTTGAAGCTTATATAATTTTGGGAAGGAAAGGATAAGAAAAGAACATGTAAGCCAGTGGCACACATCTGTAATTCTAGCTACTCAGGAGGTTGAGGCAGAAAGATTCCAAGTTCAAGACCACCCTGGGCAACTTAGCAAGATCCTGTCTCAAAATAAAATTTAAAAAGAAAGGGTTACAGATGCAGCTCATTGGTAAAGCACTTGCCTAGCATGCACAAAGCTCTGGGTTTGATTTCAGTACTTCCCCAAAATAAAAAACAAGAATAAAAAAAAAATCACAATTATGAGTTTAAAACTGCTGGATCTCCTGGCCAGGGATTTGTGCAAATGAAGAATCTAGACTATAAATTCACATCTGCTTATCATTCTCTAGCACCTGGTATCTTGCTCTCTACACTTTCTTCATTTTCACTCTTCCATGGTTTGGATACCCTTTCCCCAAAGACCAAGTTGGTCACCAGCCTGTGGCACTATAGCAAGTGGTACAACGAACGTTGAAGAGGCAGAGCCTAATGAAAGGAAGTTAAGTCATTCGGGGAAATAACCTTGGAGGGCATTTTGGCCCTGGGTCCTTTCCTGTGTCTTTTTGCTTCCTGGATGCCACTGAGATAAAGCACTTTCTTCCACCACTTGCTCCCACCATGATGTACTGCCTTACCACAGGCCCAAAGCAATAGGGCCAACCCCCGATAGACTGAAATTTCCAAAATGGTGAGCCAAACTAAATCTGTACTCTTCTTGTATTGATTTAACTCAGGTATTTGTTACAGCAATGGAAAGCTGACACACTCAAAAACTACCAACATCAGATACAAAATTCTATAACCCTCGATCTCTGATCACTATTGTACCTTCGACATTACTCAACACACTGTTAATGCATTTCTCGTTGCCTCTGTATTTTATATGCATCAATAGCCTTTTAATTATCCCTAAGGCCTCACACTCTGAATTCTTCCTCAAAAACACTCATCCAAAAATTCAAATGACTTTTACACAGTGTCAACTTCAACCAATTCTGTGATGTAGATATAATTCGTGTTGTTATTCCTAACTTACAGATAAAGAACTGATTCAAAGGTGAAGTGACTTCTCCAAGGTCACTAAACTATACAAGTTTTGGCCTCAAACCCACATTCTTCCTTTAAACCCTGCAACCTTCAGGGGCTGAACTGAATTGAACCCACTATGATCACTGGGATGGGGGTGTGTGTGACACTGAGACTGACAGTTTATTAAAGAAGGTTTTAGCCCATCTCAATATCTGATTGGCTTTTTAATTTTAGAAGTATATTTCTAGAGCAGGCTGCCTAGAGCTTAAAATGAGGTAGTGTGGCATAAGAATTTTGTCCTAGAAATAAAACAAACAAACAAAACACTAAGATTTACTGGTCCTGAAAAATACCTTGCACATTAAGGAATAAGGAATGTGGGAGTCAGTTGGGTAGGAAATATTTAGGAACTATTTAATTAAATACAAAGGATTTCTGTCACTGATAAAATCTTGATAATTAGGGGAGGTGACAGATGGGATCCACTGCTGTAGAGTCACAGCTTAATTTTAACCAATTTACAGAACATTTTATACAATTCTAGAAGTGACAGATTAGTGTCAACCAATACAATGTAGAGCAGAACCCAATTTTCCAGTAAAACACAAAGTACATTAACTATTTTAAATATTCTGGATGCTTACTTAGCGTTTGGGTTCCATTGTAAAGGCAATGGGTGGAGAACACAAAATTACTAAGTAAAGTGGTTAAATTCTGCTTTAAAAAAAAAAAAAGGAAAAGAAAAGAAAAGCAGCATATGGTCTCACTTCACACAGCTCTGGCAGCAACGAACCCGTACATAACAAGCGCCAGATGGAAGGACTGATGTCTGCCTGTCACGGGCGGAGTCCTCCGGCCTTCAGCAGCGGGGTGTGAGGCGATGCGGGCCGGTACAGCCCAGCAGGTGAGGTACACCTCGGAGCGGGCGGCCCGAGGCTGTATGAGTCCGGCCCCGTCCACACGGAGCCTGGGCCCGAGGCGCTGGCCAGCCAGGTGCGGGCCCGGCACAAAACAGAACCTCCTTCTCCACTTTCCGGGGACTCACGCCAGCAGAACGCAGCGCCTCTCGCCCTCGCGCACGCAGCCTACTGCGCCGGCGCAGCCGGAAGCAGCCCTGGAAAGGCGAGCGCGAGGCTGCCCTCTAGTGTCCACTGTTCACCATGCACCCGGAGGCCTGACCCAGCGGATCAAAACCTGAGTTTAAGCCCAGCCCAGGTGCTTTTCTTACATCTGAACTTGAGAGCATGTGCTGACCCAGTCTGGTCTTAGTATGATGCTGGTTCCTGTGAGATCTAGACTCACAGGGCTGGGGCTATGGATCAGTGGTAGAGCGCTCGCCTAGCACATGTGAGGAACTGGGTTCAATCTTCAGCACCACATAAAAATAAATAAATAAAACAAAGGTATTGTGTCATCTACAACTTTAAAAAAAAAAACAAAAAACCTACATTCACTGTAAAGCGGTAGTTGAAAGTCTGGTTCTCAGATCAGCAGCACCGGCACATTATATGAACTACAGATTCTTTGCCCCATCCTAGGTCAGGCCTCTGGGCAATTCTGATGCCAATGGAATTTGAGAATCACTGGTGTAAAGGACACTGTGGGCTGTGGGGATTCCCCCAGAGAGCAGTAAAGCTGAGCTTCACACATTCAAAGACCAGCAGATAACAACTTGAGCAAGCCTAAAACTTTGGAGAAAGTAGAAAAGCCTCAACACACCATACCAATGTTGGCACTTGGTGGGAAAATGATAGGGGTAAGGAAAAGTTGCAACATTGAAAATGAGACATAGAGTGATGTAACTTTTTGTTTAAATTAGAAATGTCATCTAGCCAGGTGCAGTGGCACACATGTAGAGCAGTGACTCCAGGCTGAGGCAGGAAAACTACAGGATGGAAGCCAGCCTCGGAAACCTCAGCAAGACTTCAGAGATCCTCAGCAACTTAGCAAGACCCTGTCTCTAAAAAATAAAAAAGAGCTGGGGATGTAACCCACTGGTAAACTTCCC